TTGCCCGACCGGTGTTCGTCGGGCGGCGGACTTCCGGCGGATCGGCGGCCGGGTACGGTCTAGTAACGATGGGGGGAATGCATCGTTACATCACCCCCCCTCGTAGGATATGCCTAAATTTAGAGGCATTCGGTGACGTGATGTTTACGTCTCGGGCGCTCGCATTTAATTTAGACGGCGGCGGTATCTCAATTCTCCGGTCTTCGAGAATCGCATTATCCAGTGGCCTTGTGGTGACTGGATCTTATATTTCCGGGAGACGTGCACGGCGAAGTGGGGCACGTCGAAGACGACGCCGGGCTCCACTTGTACCCGGATCGGCGGCGGCGTTAACGGGCCTGTCGGCATCAGGAGGCGAGGTGGTTGATCTTCGCCGGTCTTTCCCTCGGTTTCCCGCGATCTCTTGCGGGCTGGAGTGCTCGCTGGTGGTCGCGAGCGGGCAGGCGGCGGTGGCGAAGCCTGCATCAGCTGCTCCAATTTCAGCTGATTGACGCGGTCGGAGCGCTGGATTAGCGTGCCGATCTTCGGCGGCCGGCTCGGTGGTCGGGCGGCTGGGCCGGTTGGCGGACGGCTGGTCGGCTGCGGTGTTCGCTGGTCGGACGGTCCTGGCAGCGGAAGATCGTACGCGTATAGCGGGTCGTCCAGGAACTCGTTTATCGCAGCTAGGATGTCGTCGGGTTGACTCATCTTGTCTTTCTTGTCTTTCGCATTTGGATTTTGCCGTTTATTCGTCTCTGCCGGCGGTGGGGGTATCGTCATCTTCGTCCCCGCTGTTATTGTTTTCGCCGGTTTGTTTGGTTCTGGCGGTTTTTAAATCCTGCACGTGTACGTGTCGGTACCATTTTCCCCGCTTGCTCCTCAGGTCTACGATGACGGGTGAGACGATTCGACGTACTTCGAGCGGCCCGATATATTTCGGCGCGAGTTTTGCGTTGAAACTGTCGGCTTTTCTTGACAGCGGGTGGTCTTTTTTCCACACCCATTCGCCGATGTGCGGTCTCCATTCTCGGCGTCGGAAATTATAATATTTCTCCTGCCGTTGAAAAGCTCTGACCAGTTGTATCCGGACGATTTTATAGGCGTCGTCTAGTCGTTCTCGTATCGTATCTGGTGACGTCCTCTCGGTTGCTGGTGCGGTGCGGTGCGGCGGTACGAGCTCTCGCCCGTAATTGACATATGCCGGCGTATAGCCGGTGGCATCGCGTACTGCCGTATAAAATGCGTATAAAATGCGAATTGAAAAGCGGGCAGGTGTTCGTCCCAGTCTCGATGGTCCTTATCGACGAACTCTCCAATCATCGTTTTTATCGTCCGATTGGTTCTTTCAACCGGGTTGCAATGCGGTGCATAGGCTGGTGCGGTCTTATGCCGGATGTTAAACGCTTGCAGTCGTTCGGTAAAGCCTTTCGATGTAAACTGGGTGCCGTTATCCGACAGGATGGATTTTGGTCGGCCATGTCAGAGTATCACCCTCTCGGTGATGGCTTTCGTGACGGCTTTTGCGGTGGCTTGACAGAGCGGTGTTAATTCCACCCATTTCGAACATCGATCTTGCATTACGTAGAGCCACGTGTGGCTTTGTCGCGAACGCGGCAGTGGCCCTACGAGATCGGTGGTGACCTGCTCCCAGGATCGCTGGACGACGGTCGCGTGGAGCTTTCCGGCTGGTTGTTGTTGTGCCACCTTGTGTTTCTGGCAGGTTTCGCATGTTCGCACATATGCGGCGATCGCCCGGAACATTCCCGGCCAGTGATAATGTTCGGCGATGCGGGCGATCGTTTTTGCTATTCCCAGGTGGCCGGCCGTTGGTGCGTCATGATAATTTCTCAGCACCGTGTGTCGTTGATCTTGCGGTACACACTCCTTCCATTGTTCCTCTGCTGCGTTTTCCTTAAAGTCAAGGCTGTGCAGGATGTGGCGGAACAACTTCCCTCCTACTATCCGGTAGTCTGGTCTGCTGGTTGGTTCGCGCTCGACCTCTGTGACTATGCGCTGGTACCAGCGGCACCGGCGTGTGGTCGCGGCGCAAAGCTCGGGCTGTCGCGATAAGGCGTTAGCTACTCGGTTCAGCGTGCCCTTGCGGTACTTGACCTCGAGATCATACTGCTGGAGCTCGAACAGCCACCGGGCGAGTCGCCCGGTGGGAGCTTCCAGACGCTGTAGCCACTTTAACGATTGGTGGTCGGTTAATACGGTGAAGTAGAGAGAGAAACCCCTCGAGGTAGCCCTTCATTCGCCGAATGTCCCATACGACCGCGAGGCATTCTAGCTCGGTGGCGCTATAATTGCGCTCGGCGCTATTAAGCGTTCGGCTCGCATACGCAATCACGCGCTCCCCTTCCTCGAAGTACTGTGTCAGGACGGCTCCGAGGCCACTAGTGCTGGCGTCGATCTGCAACACGAATCGACGCGTGAAATCTGGACAGGCGAGGACGGGGACCGAAATAAGAGTCTGCTTTAATTCGCGAAACGCTTTCTCCTCGTCGGAGCCCCATGTCCACCGGGCGCGTTTTTTCGTTAGTTGCGTAAGCGGCGCGGCAACGGTTGAAAAATTCGCGATGAACCGCCGGTACCAGGACGCCATCCCCAGGAATTGCCGGACTTGTTTTACGGTTTTATGCTCGGGCCAGTCGGCGACGGCGCTGACTTTGTCGGGATCTGTTCGTATCCCCTCGCGATCGACTACGTGCCCTAGATATTTCAGTCGATCGACGCAAAATCTGCATTTATCCGGGTTGAGGCGCAGGCTCGCCCCGCGGAGTCGGCGGAAAACTTCGGTTAGTAATGTCAAATGTTCCTCGAACGTCTTGCTTATCACGATAATATCGTTCAAATAGACGAACACGTTTGGCTCGAGGGTGGGGCCGATGACGGTGTCTAATAATCGTTGAAAGGTGGCCGGTGCGGAGTGCAGGCCAAACGGCATGACCGTGAATTGATATAGGCCTCTTCCGGGTATTGTAAAGGCGGTGACTGGCCGGCTGGCGGGTTTGAGCGGTACTTGCCAGTACCCGTTTTTCAGATCGAACGTTGTCAGGTATCGTGCGCCCCGTAGTTTGTCTAACGTCGCGGTCACTTGCGGTAAGGGGTACGCATCCTTTTCTGTTGCGTCATTTACCTTGCGGAAATCTATGCAAAATCGGTACTTTCCGTCTTTCTTTTTCGCCAACACTACGGGCGAACTCCAGGCGCTCTTGGATGGTTCGATGACGCCGGCGGCCTCCATCTCGGCCACCTCTATGTCGATGACTGCCTGCATTGCCGGATTTCGCGGTCGGTATCGTTGTTTTATTGGCGTCGCGTCTCGTAACCGTATTTCGTGTTGTATGCGGTCGGTCGGTCCCTGAATGTTCGCAAACTGGGTTAGTTCTCGTTGGAGGAAGCTTTGCAGCGTTCTCCCTTCGTTTAGCGTCTGTGGCGCTAAACCCCCCGTGGTCCCATGCACCGGTGGGGTGCCTGACCCGGGGTCGTACGGCGGCGGCACAAGGTGGATACCGGTGCGCGACCAGAGATCCACCCCGATCAACACCGGGCTCTCGAGCGTCGGCAGAATTGTAAAGCGGTGTTGGTAGATTCTTGCCCCGACGCGGATCGGCAGGGTAATCGTACCGGCGGTGTTCGTAGTTTCGCCGTTGGCCAGTAGTACCTCTCCTTCGTGGGGCACAATCTCGTGCCCCCGCTGTTGTGCGCGGATGATCGTTGTCGCGTTTATAAACGAAATTTCGGACCCTGAATCAAGCAGCGCGTCGTACCAGTGTTGGTCGATTTGTGTGCGTAAGTGCGGCCGTGGCGTATATCTTAGACGGGGCTCGGGGTGTTGGCCGTCGCGGCCCCGGCCCGCCAGGCGTTTCCCGCCGGCGGGTAGCATTGTCTAGTTAGCACGCTGTCTTTGCCGCACTGTGAGCAAAATTTCCGCGGCGGGCGTTTGCAGTCGGCTCGCGTGTGACCCCGCTGCTTGCACTGCCAACAACATTCTTCCCTGTTGTAGGCGGCGGCGACGGTTGGTTTCCCGGCTCCATTACTAGCATTTTTGGGTCTTCCAGATCTATGCGCATCTTTAATTACACCGGTTCTTTGGAAACGACCAACAGTTCTTTCAACAGTTGACTTTGAAATTGGTTCACGGTCAGGATATGTGGCATTGAATAAATTCGCTACTTCTCGATAGGACCTTATTCTGTCGCCATATCCTCTCATCACACACACACACACACGCGCGCGCATGCACGCACACACACTCAGGAACGCACGTGCCTGCGTGAAGCCTTATCTTTCTTCTGTTATCGCCGTGGACCCTCGCTATCGTAAAATCTCAATAGAAATGTTCAAATGATCATAACTCTGCGAAAAAAATCGTAGAGACCTCGGCGACCTCGCGTTGTTTTCGTCTCGGAAAGCCCTTTCGAACGAGCCCTCACTCAACTCCACATGCCATTTAAAATTTTTTGGCTCCCCCCTCCCCCGTCCCCCGCGGGTGTAGAGGTGAGTGTTTTTGTGGTTAAATAATAGACTTTGTGATCCTATTGTATCCCTATAAATTTCAATCCTATATTTCAAACCATTCAAAAATTATTTAGGTGGCCCGGAACTTTTGGTAGGCACTGTATTTTAAATTTGTCTCCATTGCTCCTTTATTTATTTCCCTTACTTTTACTACTTTTAGATCTTTACTAATAGCTGTTATAATTCCTCCTCTCGCCCTTCCTTTTATATTCTCTCTTGTTGCCGGTATGCACTTCCATTCATATTTATTAGATAATCTATTGCTGATCTTCTTCCATGTTCCTTCTTCCACCCACGTTTCTGTTAAACCTATGATGTCAAATTCTTCCCAATATTTCCATGTTTCTTCGCATTTGTTCATTATTCCCGCAATATTCCAAAAACAGATTTTTAAACCTTTTTCACCGTTCTCCATCTCCTCTCCATCTTTTTTATCGTGTTCTCATTATCTTCTTCCTCTTCTTTCTTCCTCCAGTTTCTCTTCTTTCTCGTTCCATCTGTACCATTTATCTTTCAAGTAAATTTTTTTGTATCCAATTTTTATATTATTGTCGTCTTTTTCTTTTTCTTCTCTTGCCATTTCTCTTAATTTTTGTTGTATCTCCCGTTCTTTTCTTGTTAAATCGTCTTCTATTATTATACCCCTCCTCAGCTCTTTCTTCTTACTCATGATCTCTCTTTTTTGCTCCCATTTGTCTATCTCCGCTATTACTAAATTTCTATTTCCATTCAGTTCTATTCTGTTTGCTTTTTTTACCACTATATCCACCTTTAAACTGTCTTTTATATATTTTTCCACCTCATGCTCTAATTTCTCCCTTTTCCAGTTCACTCCTTTTATTACAATGTTGTTCTTTTTATTTTTTCTCTCTTTTTTCTCGTTAATCCATTTCAACGCTGCTATTCTCTTCTCTAATATATTCTTCTCTTGTCTCCATTCTTCTTTCTCTCTTTTTCTCTCTTCCTCTCTTGCTTTCCTTTCTTCTATCATTTGTTCCTTCATTTCTTCCATTTCCTCTCTCATTTCTTTTCTCAATACCTCTATTTCCATTATTATATTTTCTAATCCTCTCCTCCATATTTCTTCCCCTCCTGCAATATATTTGTCTAGTGACTTTTCTTCTCCCTTACTCTTACTCCTGCCTGCTGTCTGTTTCCCAGTCATTGGCGCCATCTGTAGTCCTTTTTCTGAACTATCTCCTCTATTCTTTTTCACCCGTATCTCGATGCTTCCTAACCTTTCTTCTCCGTCACAA